AGTGAAAGATCGATCATTTATCATTTATTTCTCTGAGCAGAAATTTGCCTCTTCTTCCTCCTCTGATCAGTCTATTCGCTAAGGTGGACTCTAGGAGAAAGGGAAAGGGGGGAGGGGGCGCCAGGGGTTGGACCTGGCGGGGCGAGGGTGGGGGCACCTCAGAGCCCTTCCCAGCCTCTGGAGGAGGCTCCCTGTGTCCTACCTCCCCCTCCCTTTCCCCTTAGTGCCCCCCCCAATACCTCCCATACCCGCACTACCACCACCACAATGTGTGTGTGTGTGTCAGGGACACATTGTGGACAGCACTGAAAATAGCACCCCCAAACACACACTACCAGTCGCCAAGCACCATCTCACGTGACCACATCCCCGTGCCATTTGATGCATCCCCGTACTATTCCCAGTGTTCCCAACTTTTTTAGAATATATGCATTTAGATCTTTCAGGTTGGGAGTTATGGGTAATTTGGCAACACAAACACCGGAACTGGTTTCTAACATAACTCTACAGTTGGCAGTGAGGCAGGCAGTGCGCATTGAAATTAAGCAAGTCTTCATCCAAGAAGACTTTGCTTTTCCTTTTTTGGAGGGACAAATGCTCTGGTTTGGTTTTGCGCCATTATTGAAGACTTGAATATTACTGGCTGACTTTAATGATTCTTTGAAGTTAATTTTTACATGTGAATGGCAGGGTTCTAGTTAACTTTCTGGAAGCTTAGGAGGTGTCTCTCCGTGTGCTTTGTAACTTGAGTAACTAGAGTGCTTCTAGGTGATAATGCTTTGGGGGAGATTGGGAGGGACCCGGGACCCAGGCTGCCACAGGGATCCAAACTGATAAAGTGCTTAGCACTTCAGAGTTGCAGCCCTTGGAAGGAACTAGAATCCTGCCTCCCAGTATGTTCTCCACTCCAGATATCTTACCTGAAAAGGAGCCCCTTTTCAGGTAGCCTCATGAGGATAGCATACATTCTTTCCATTTCTTCTTCCTTTTCTATGAAAAGAAAAACACAACTTTTAGTCTGTGTCTCAAAGCAGGACAACTGATCTCAGTGTTTCTCTTCTCAACTCCAGAGGCTACTGTTCTCTCAAATGTTTTTGTATCTTTTTCTGAATCCAGTAGCTCTTAGAAAATGATCCAAATGTTGCATATTCCTAGTGTCCAAATTACAATAATAAAATTTTCCAATGAACAATCCCAGGATTGCTTGAATACTGTGGAATACAAGTGGGAATTGGGACATTCATCCAGTAAAGTTCAATTGGGGGGGGGGGGAGCGCCATATTTCAAAATGAATTCCACTTTTTTTCTTTAAAAACAGAGTTCATTGACCAAGAAAGATTTCAAAACGTTTTCTCTAATACCCCAACATGAAACTTGGATTGAGGTTTTCAGGGAATTACAGGGATCAAACTAATCAAGGCTTGAGTTCCCAGGTTTCCCAAAGGCTCAGCACTCCCCTAGAGGCTAATTACTGTTTACTGCTGAGACCTTCCTCATTTTTCTTCTGTAACATTTTCCATCTTAAGAAGGGTGGTCCCATTCAGCTGAGGCATGGTGTCGGAGTGGCTGAATGGAATTATTACCAGTGGAAACTATGTTGCAAGAGGAGTTGATAAAGCAGCTGCAAGGCAAACCTTGGCCGTTTTTTCCATCCTCCCCAAGCAAAGTTAATTAGCATAGGGAAAATGACTAAGGTGTTGACGTCACCTCTTTCCAGTAGAAACTTACACTCTGTCTCTGTCTGCCTGAAAGCATGCAGGACTTGACTCAGGAATTTGCTGTCCAAACAGGATGCTCTTGGAAGCTGTGCTTTTTTTTTTTTTCCCCAGTGGGGCTGGGCTTCGGTGCTTTATAAGGGCCGGCTGGAGCTAGACACCTCCAGCCTCTTGCAAAGGAACCTCACTTGGGGCTTGACTGCCTGAGTCGCTAGTGCTTTCTCTGTAAGAAAGCAAGATGCACTTTAGAAACTTCAACTACAGTTTTAGCTCCCTGATTGCCTGTGTGCCAAACAGTGATATCTTCAGCGAAAGTGAAACCAGGGTAAGGCTTCTAATATAATGGGATCTTTGAGAGTTTTCAAAGCATTGTGTTAATTGGGACGAGTACCTGAAATGTCTGCGGGGGGTGGCATGTGGCTGTCCCGCGGGCTTGGGGGTTTTGAAATGAGTCCAGAATATTTGGTGCTTTATCAAACAAAGCTGTGGCCTGAGGGATTCGCTGTGAAGGAATTTTCAAAGCTCTCAGTATTTGAAAGCATCAGGTCCTCTGACCAACCCGTACTGCAGAGTGTTAACACAATTTGTATTTTTCAATCTGTGTAGGTTGTACGTAAACATTTAGAGGGAAGCTTTTTTCTGACGGTGAACAGCGTTTCACTTTGCCATCTAGAGATCAGAATAATGTAATTTTATCTTAGGAAATAAATACCGCCAAGATATGTGTTGGTCTGTGGTAATTACAAGGATCTGTCGTCAAGTTTTCAGATTTCTTTAGCTAGGGAAAATGCAGCCATAGCAAGCAATAAAACTGGATAAATATCTCAAGTTTAAGTGTGGGATGAGCGTACTTCCTGGGAAGCAGCGCTCATTGGTGGTAATTAGTGTAAGTAGCAATTTTGATTACCATGCTTTTCTTCTTCATTCGATTAAGATGTAAGATTTCCATCAGTGGCTACCCAGCTGTCTACTTGATCTTTAACAATAATGTATATGAGTGAATTCTGTGTGTTGTGTTTGGGTACAGTGTTCATATTACACACTTTATAGGCAATGCCATATTGGGACATGTGAAGGGTTTATTTTTAAATCAAATTGAACTCTGCAACTGTGTATGATGCTTGTGAGCCGGGACAGTGGTTTTTGAACGAGATCGCAGCACATTTTGTGTGTTTTCCAAAATCTTATGTATTTCATATTAGCCTTGTGTGAGTAAAACCATTTATTTAATCAAAGAGAGATGGCATCCAACAGCTATAATAACTAGCTATCCGTTGTTAGGACAAATAAGATGATTTTACAGGAGAATGGCTTCATGGTAATGTGGATTTGACAGATACTGTGCATTCTCTTGTGTTCTGGTCCTGAGCCCTGACTTGTATTCTAAAAATACTCCTCAAAGTCATCTCCCCTAAATTCTGAATCATAACGTCAAAACTAAACAGTTGGTCACAAGGCCTACTGATGAGGCCATGCGAAATTCCAAATATACACACGTGCTGTGGGCTAGAAACTTGCCCGAGCTCCTGATGGGGGGGGGGGTTGGGGGGCGTGGGGGGCGGGGAAGCCCTCTGTGAAGCGGTCTCTGGGTATTTTTCTCATTCTTTGCCTGCGCAGAACCGCTCAGAAACTTTTCATAAACGAAAGAAAAGCCACGGAATCCAGAGGGAGAAAGTTGGTGAGGTGTTCCCACCTGCATCCTTGGAAAAACCTGACTACGGGACTGGGGGCTGACCCCCCCCTCTCCAGGCCCCGCCCCCAGGCCGGAATGCACATCCTGTCCTGCCTCTGAAGCCTCTTGCACCTGGGGATCCCATTCCCTTGCCTCTCTCTAGCACTGAACATCCCTGAAAATAGTCTCCTCTCTTCCATGCCATCCCCTCTCCCCGCTTTCTGCAGGTCTCCAAGGTACTCGGTGCGCCCCGCCCACCCCCTCTACCTCGGTCACTCTGGTAGAAGGCACGCCCCTCCCCCAACCGGACCCTCAGCCGGCCCTTTTTGCCTTTTTGTAGACTTCCCACAGCCTGCCCTTAAGTGTTCAGTCGGGGGGGAAAAAACACTCGGAAAGCAGGACGACTCAAAGTACAGTCTTTCTGGAAGTTTCAACCGTCCCTCAACTCCCTCACTGGAGCCTTGGGACCTCGCAGTGGTCTCGGTCTCCCCACCACACCCTCCCCCCAAAAGCCACCACCCCAGAACCCAGCCTAGCAGGAGGCTCTCCACACATCTTTTCCCAGAAAGCTTCTCAAATCTCAGCCTAACACCCTTGAACTTGGGCATTTCCATTCTAAGAACTATTGCTGTTTTCTAACTTTTCACTGGGCTTTATGACACCAGAGCTAGAAATGCACAAACCTTCAAGCCAGCCTGCAGAAATGGGTCCGTTTGTGGGAGGCAAACCCCAAGAGACTCTTAACTACAGAGAACAAACTGAGGGCTGCTGGAGGGGAGCTGGGTGGGGGATGGGCTAAATGGGTGCTGGGCACCAGCACTGGGCATCCTGTGTTAAATGATGAATCACTGGGTTCTGCTCCTGAAACCAATACTACCCTGTATGTTAACTAGCTTGAATTTAAATACAGTTTTTTGGAAAGGAAAGAAAGAAATGGGTCCATTCACAGTACATTAATTTTTAAACCAGTATTTTATTTTAGAGAGTTAAAAAGTAACAGACCCAGTGGGAAAATGATAGGGAGATTTCTTTTGAAACCTCTTCCTTACACTGAGAAAGGCAAGGTTTCTTTTAACTTCATTGTTTCCCAATGCAAAAAAAAAATTTTTTTTTTCAAATGAGTGCCAGTGCTTTTAAAGCCCTGTAGAAACATCTGATATACATAGCAACCCTCTGTGTTGAGCAGTGGAATGGGAGTTTGCCAGGCCAGGGAAGGTTGCTGGACATACGGAATTGTCAGGCTGAAGTGGGGGGCGGGGAGGGGGACAAATTACCAGAATGGACCTCCTTGGAATGTTCTCCTTTTCTACTTTCAAAAGAATGTTTTTGTGACTGTTAGAGGTGTTTGAGTATTGGTAATTGTTCTGCTGATTGAATGAATTTAAGAAATCCTGCCTTCTTACTTTCCTCTAAAATCGCCTGTATTAGAATTAAAAGGGCCCAAAGCAAATCTTCCTCATAGGGGAAAGGCTGGCTTTGTCTCCTTTAAGAAAGTAGTTGGGTGTTCTGGAAATGACACTTAATTCCCTTCCTCAAGTAGAAATGTAATGTAGTCGTCAGGACTCATATGCGGGTATCTTTTAACTCCTTTTATTTTTGTTGTTACTTTTCAGGCCAAATTTGAATCCCTCTTCAGGACATATGACAAGGACATCACCTTTCAGTATTTTAAGAGCTTCAAACGAGTCAGAATAAACTTCAGCAACCCCTTATCTGCCGCGGATGCCAGACTCCAGCTGCACAAGACTGAATTTCTTGGAAAGGAAATGAAATTATATTTTGCCCAGGTGAGTGGCGTCCAGTGGTCCACATGCTTCTCCTTCTCACCCTTTTTAAAAATAGCTTAGACATTGATTATGTCATACATTGATTTTTTTATACATACGTATTTCAATTGCAGTGTTGGAATTGAAAGTATATCCTAGGGGCGCCTGGGTGGCTCAGTCGGTTAAGTGTCCTACTTTGGCTCACGTCGTGATCTCGCGGTTCATGGGTTCGAGCCCTGCATCAGGCTCTGTGCAGACAGCTCAGAGCTTGGAGCCTGCTTCGGGTTCTGTGTCTCCCTCTCTCTCTGCCCCTCCCCTGCTCACACAACATCTCTCCCTCTCTCTCCCTCAAAAATAAATAAACATTAAAAAAATTTTTTAAGTATATCCTATTCATGCCCTTCCTTATTCACCAAGTATCATTATTCATGATCATTTTACTGCAACATTAAAATGTGTTTAATAAGATCATTATCCAGGCACATAATATTCTACCATATACATATTTCAGACATATTTAACCAGTCTTGACTGTAGGACATTTATCTTGTTTTCTAATTTTTCACTATCCTTGATAATGCTGCAGTGAACACTGTTACATCTGTACCCTTTTTTTTTAAAGCATGTTTGTCATTTGAATGACAAAAGCAACACAGAGTCACCGAAACAATCCAAGTACAGTTCAGAAGTCCCTAAAGTTAAATAGGTAGACACATTTCTCCCCTCTCCCTTCAAAGCAATCTGCCTACCGTAACCACCTTTAAAAATTTAGTGTAAATCCTTACACGCTTTCTCCTTCACATATTCAAACATACAAACGCATTAGTATGGGTTTAATTTGCTTGCACAAAAAAATGGAGTTACTACAACCTTCTCTTTTACTTAGCAACGTATCGTGGACACCCTTTCTGGTCCATGTGCACCTTCTGTGTTGATTTAAAACTCTTAAGAATTCTTGGGGCGCCGGGGTGGCTCAGTCGGTTAAGCGGCCGACTTCAGCTCAGGTCATGATCTGTCTCACAGCTAGTGGGTTCCAGCCCCGTGTTGGGCTCTGTGCTGACAGCTCAGGGCCTGGAGCCTGCTTCGGATTCTGTGTGTGTCTGTCTCTCTCTCTGACCCTCCTTCGCTCACACTCTGTGTGTCTCTCTCTCAAAAATAAATAAACATTTAAAAAAAATTTTTTAAAGAATTTATTTTGAGAAAGACAAAATTCATACTCTAAGTTTTCAATGTCTCGCCTATTTTAAGAAAACATCATTACCATCTTGACAATAAACTATGAAGGTGAAAAGAAGAAAAAAACCATCATCATGGAGCGCCTAGGTGGGTCATTTGGTTGAGTGTCAGACTCTTGATTTCTGCTCAGGTCATGATCTCACAATTTTGTGATCGAGCCCTCTGTTGGGCTCTGCGCTGAGCATGGAGCCTGCTTGGGATTCTCACTCTCCCTTTCCCTTTATTCTTCTTCCACTTGCGTACTCTCTCTCTTTCTCTCTCTCTCTCTAAATAAAGAAATGGGGGATGGAGGGAGATAGAGGGAGGGAAAGAAAGAAATGAGAGAGAAAGAAATGAGAGAAAGAAAAAGAAAGGAGAGAGAGAAAGAAAAAGAGAAAAAGAAGGGAAGAAAGAAGGAAAGAAAGAAAAAGAAAGAAAGGAGAGAGAAAGAAAGGAGAGAAAGGAAAAAGAGAAAGAAAGGAGAGAAAGAGAAGAAAGAAAGAAGAAAGGAGAGAGAAAGAAAAAGAAAGGAGAGAGAGAGAAGGAAAGAAAGAAAGAACAGAGGAAGGAAGGAAGGAAGGAAGGAAGGAAGGAAGGAAGGAAGGAAGGAAGAGAAAGAAAGAAAAAGAAAGAAAGAAAGAAAGAAAGAAAGAAAGAAAGAAGAGAAAGAAAGAAAGAAAAAGAAAGAAGGAAAGAAGGAAAGAAAAGAAAGAAGGAAAGAACTCAGACATCAGCATGTATTTGAAAGCAAGCGACCTCCAAAATGGCCCGTGACCTTGGGATGAGTAGCGCGGGGAGAACCTTCCCTGCTCTCTCAGGAGGGCGGCAGAGGAGAGTGCACGGTGGGCATGGCCACTCCAGCACTCTAAGATTTGTGCCGCATGTTTCTAGGAATTTGCTCAAGGGTTAGGGCTGCAAACTTCTTTCTGACCGAGAGCGGGAGCTGAGTGGAGCCTCGCTCCATGCAGGTTTTCCAGAAGCCACAGCCCCCAAGTGCGGGCGGCCGCATGGGCCCGAGGCTGCCTGGCCTGGCTTGAAAGGAGAAAAATGAATTAAGCAGACAGGTAGCACACGCTAAGAAAGCCTCCTGGTGGCAGGAGCCCCAGTCCCTGGTCGCTGGGGAAGGGCTGTGAATGGGTTTGCTGTTCCTCCAGCTCACTGCCCTTCGGGTTCTACCCGACCCCCCAGACCTTCAGCCATAAGGTGACCCATTTTCAATATGCAGCTCACAGAGTTCTATATGATGATGCAACTGGGGTCCAAGAGGTTGGCCATGGAAAGGGAAGGAGCTTCTCGGATGCTGCTTTCTGGTTACCGCTCGCCCCCCCTGGGGCCTGAGCTCCCCAGGCCAGCACAGGAGTGGGCCCTGTGGAGAGGCTTCAGCAACCTGGGCCTTCAAATACAAATCAGAGCTGGGATGCCCTGCCCCCTGGTGGCGTGTGCGAAGCACAGGTTTTGACCTTGGATCTTTATGATTGAGCCCTCCCCCAACTTTCCTTATTATTAGAGTAAATGTGCAGGCTCAGTGTGAATATTTGGTGGCTGGAGGTGGGCCGGGGGGGGGGGGGGAGGAGGAGTGGAATATCGAGAAACAAAGAAAACCCAGAACTGAGAAGATTTTGATGTAACATCTTTCTGGACAGCCCTCTAACCACACTGATAGGGCTTTTAAGACCAAACTAGCATGCTAGGTTATTGTTCATACTGTTGTTTTTGAGTTTTTTAATTTAATTTAATTTCTTTAAATTTACATCCAAGTTAGTTGGCGTCTAGTGCAATAATGATTTCGGGAGTAGAATCCAGTGATTCATCCCCTACACACAACACCCAGGGCTCATCCCAGCAAGTGTCCTCCTTAATGCCCCTTGTCTACTTAGCCCATCCCCCCACCCACAACCCCTCCAGCAGCCCTCAGTTTGAGTCTCTTATGTTTTGCCCCCCCCCCCAGTTTTTATATTATTTTTGCTTCCCTTCCCTTATGTTCATCTCTTTCGTATCTTAAATTCCACACGTGAATGAAGTCATATATTTGTCTTTCTCCGACTAATTTCGCTTAGCATAATACACTCTAGTTCCATCCACATTGTTGCAAATGCCAAGATTTCATTCTTTTTGACTGCCAATATATACAGATATACCACATTTTCTTTATTCATCAGTTGATAAATGACATTTGGGCTCTTTCCATACTCGGGCTGTTGTTGATAGCGCTGCTGTAAACGTTGGGGTGCGCGTACCCCTTCGACACAGCACACCTGTGTCCTTCGGATAAATACCTCGTAGTGCAATTGCTGGGCCGTAGGGCAGTTCTGTTTTTAATTTTTATTTTACAAACCTCCATACTGTTTTCCAGAGTGGCTGCACCAGTGTGCTTCTCAAGATACTATTTTTTTTTACGCTCCTGGAAGATGGATCTTTTTTCCTTCCTTGCTTTTAGCATCTGATCTGGAACCCCAGAGGGAAGGAAAGGTGGGATATCACTGGGCAGGCGGGCGCCCTGGGACCCCCTCCCCGCTTTGCCCTCTCAGAAACTGTATCCCCTTAGAGCTGCTGCTTAGCCTTTTGGGGCTTCTGTTCTCCCTTTGTGATCTGAGGAGCTGGAAGAAATGGCCGAGATCCCTCTGGCCTCAGCATAGTGCTTTATTTTTTCCATTTCTACTACAACGATACTAGTTTGCCACCTGTCTGGGTCCCTGGTGATTCCTTGCAGTCCCTGGGACTGTGGATCCCGGTCCTGGGAGGGGCTCCAACCATGCGTGCGCCATCACCCCTTTACCTTCTCTACGCAGACCGGGTCACAAGCCCCCCTGAACTGCACGCGTTCTGCCTCCCGGTCGCAGGCTTGTCCTTTGGCGCCTGTCCTTACACAAACTGTCACTGAGTGCTGTGTCCTTGCTCGGGTTCTTTCCTCCAGAAACCACCCGCCTGTATTCCTTTCTCTCCACAGACTTTACACATAGGAAGTTCCCACCTGGCGCCCCCAAATCCGGACAAGCAGTTTTTGATCTCTCCCCCTGCCTCGCCGCCAGTTGGTTGGAAACAAGTAGAAGATGCTACTCCTGTCATAAACTACGATCTGTTATACGCTATCTCCAAGCTAGGGCCAGGTAAGCTGTGCTCTCGGGCGGGCGCAGGGACACGACGGGCAGAGATGGTGCTCAGGGGCCCCGACGGGGATGCTCACCTGCCTCGGGGAGCGGCCCTCTCCCCGTGGCCCCTGCGTGTTTTGTGAATTGTTGCTACTTGCATTCATCTGCGTCTGTAACTCAAGTTGCTGGGAGCGCACATGCCTGCATGCCTCTGGGCTCATTCCTTAGCCACTTGGTTGGTCAGTCACTGGGACCCCCCTGTGGCCGCCATCATGGGAATCCTTCCTGTCACCCACTGAGCACAGCTTGTGTGGGCAGCTCAAGACCCGATCCCAGGTCGTGAGCAACTAGACTTGGAAAGGGAAATCAGACCACCCTACACTTTCAAAATTTCATTTTTAGTCAAGGTAGTTGATCTGATTCTCACCTGAATGTTCAAGGGAACCATAGCGCTAGTGAAGAAAGAGCCCCAGTCATGCAAGCCCCTTCTTGGCCCCATTGGGGTGCTCCCCAGATGAGAAAGAAGGGGCTTCAGTCCTCTGATGGGACGAAGGTATAATAATTCAGGGAGATAACAGGTACTCTGGCCTCAGTCTTCTTCTCCATACAGTGGGTATCACCCAGCGGAGTTGAAAGCGGCAGGTGAGAAAGCCCCTCAAACAGTGCCTGGCCCCTAGGCAATGCCCAATACATGATTTTTGGAAACAATAAGATGTCGGCGGTTCCTATCCTACCTGCTGGGATTTGGGTGAGTGGGCAGGTGTGAGGCAGGCATCTTGGGGCGAAGTGGTTTGAATTCACCCTCCTGCCCTGTCTATAGAGCAAACAGACACCGAGGCCATCAGCTCCTCATTTCTTCTTGACCAGACATCTGATGGTATTCCTTTGGATTGAGGGTTTTATTTCATGGCCCATCAGCAGTTTCATGCTGAAAAGATTATGTTTCTGAACACACTGCCCCAGCGGAAGTTCCCTGTGCGGGAGAAAGCTAGAATCACATTACTGACTGCTAATGGTGGCGTGAAGGTCAAGACGGTTCCGGCCAGTTCGCGGAAGCGCGAGCTCCTGGCCGAGGTGGGTTAGCAGAGCTGAGGGCTGGATGGACTCGACTGGGAGGCTAGACAAGAGGAGAAGCGGGTCCTGCATCTGGGCGAGGTGACACACCTCCAGGGCTGAGAAGTGCTGCTAAAGGCAGTTCTCCACACTCCAGAATCTACCGCTCCTTTCCAGAAGGCTGATTTGAGAAGCCCTTTCAGAAAATAGACATAATCAAACCCATTCAAACTGTTAGTTTATGTAACAGTGAGCTGGAACCAGGTTGTATATTGGGCTGTGGCTTCCCAGCCAACAAGATTGCAAAGATTTTGCAAATCTGGCGCTCCACTACAGCTTTCCTGATGGTGGCTGATTGGTGGGTAGATAAGGACCCTGACTAGACGTGATCTTGTGACCCCCACCTTAATTCCCTCCCTGACAGAGCTGAGGCTCGCTCACTTTTTCAGATGCAATTGCCATTCACATTCCAGATAGAGACCTCGCAATTACCTTTTTTATGAGGAAAAGTGCCTCCCGTGTTCAGAGGAGTCCCCAAAGCAGCAGGTGAGAAGGTCTGGAATCGGCTGGGGAAGAGCACACAGAACTTGAAGGAAACCGCCGCTCACCTCGCTGCACCCCTACAGGGTAGAGCCAGCCGCAGCCAATCCCCCTCCCACCTGCTTAAATCATAGCATCATAGTAGTAGTATCTCTACTACTCACCACCTCCCAGCAGTAAGGATCCATGCCCTGTTTGTAATCGTTAGTAAAACTAGGTGACACTTACGGGGCCTGCGCACTGTGCACCGGGTCCTAAGAACCCTGCTTGCTTTTACCCAATCAGCTCTGTGAGGTCAGTGCCGTTACTATCCCATTTCTCAGAGGAGACCATGAGGTTCACAGGAATGTGAAGGAATGTGCCCGTGGGCTCCGGGTCCTGAGTGGAGGGAATCGCGGCCCATGTGTCGGCCACGGACTCCCTTGACCCTGAAGACGCAGCCAGACCAACGCTGTAGATTGCTTCTCAGTTACAGATAGCTCAGTGCACCCTTGCTGGGCCAGAGTGGCCTGAGCTGGACTAAACGTGGTCAAACTCAGGCTGAAGTAGAATTGCAGGGCACTCCTGGCTCCAGGGGTGAAAGTTGTTCTATGAAAAGGATGCTGTGGTCAGAGATGTTTTTGGAGCACCTGATTTCAAGAGCCTCAAGAGGGAAGCCTGGGTGGCTCAGCTGGTTAAGCATCCAACTCTTGATTTCTTTTTTTTTTAATGTTTACTTATTTTTGAGAGAGAGAGACAGAGACCGAGTGTGAGCAGGGGAGGGACAGAGAGAGAGGGAGTCACAGATTCTGAAGCAGGCTCCAGGCTCTGAGCTGCCAGCACAGAGCCCGACAGAGGGGCTCGAACTCACCGGCCATGAGATCGTGACCTGAGCCAAAGTCAGATGCTTAACCAATGGAGTCACCCGGGCTCCCCCCGACTCTTGATTTCTGCTCGGGTTATCATCTCACAGTTCGTGAGCTCTCTCGCTCTCTCAAAATAAATAAATAAACTTAAAAAAAAGAAAAGAAGAAGGAGCCTCTCAGTGTCCTTTCCCTAACATGTTTTATTCATGCCCTGTCTTTTCCTGAACACATGCTCCTCGCACCGCAGTGGGAAGCCGTCTTGGTATTTTAGGAGGCCTGGTGGACACGTTAAGTGTAATTTAAAAATATACTCTTTGCATAGCTTTCACATGCTGGGATTCAGTGTTTGACCTAAAGCAGAATAACATACAATAGTGACTCTGTGTGTGCATGTGCGTGTGTGTAATTTTTTTCCCTTGAGCCACCAAAGAACTGCCAATCCAGAGCATGTCTAGCTGTGTCCCTCGGTCCCCAGTGAATGTCCCCAGAAGCCTGGCCGAGCAGACCCGTACGTACATGCTTTTCCACTTGCTCTTGCTTTTTGCCTCCGCGGCCTTGCCCGAGTCACCCTGCATTTCCCTTCTCTCCCCAGGGGAAAAGTATGAATTGCACGCGGCGACCGACACCACCCCCAGCGTGGTGGTCCACGTGTGTGAGAGCGACCAGGAGAATGAGGAGGAAGACGAGATGGAAAGGATGAAGAGACCCAAACCAAAAATTATCCAGACCAGAAGGCCGGAGTATACACCCCTCCACTTAAGCTGAAGTGGAGCCCGGATGCAGAAGTATTCCGAATCACGCTCACGGGGAGGAATCTTTTTCTGTGGAAGTGGCCGCTCGCAACCGGGGAAGTGGCAGCCGTGATCGCTGTGGCAGAAATTCCAGTTCACGTTGCCCGGAGGAGAATCAAGGCTTCGTCCTCTGGGTCTAACGCTGTGCATCCGTCAATGTTCATGGCTTCCGGGCAATGTCCTGGGCCAATCACTGAAGTTTAAGGTGATCGCACGAGGACATTTGGGCACATCTCGAGAAAACCGATAACCGATAGCGTTTTGTACTTGTTTTTTTCTGGCAGGTTCTGTTTTTTGTCACAGGCAGCTTGATCCCTGGGTGTGGGGAGAGCCTTGTGTTTCCAGCTAGCCCGTGGGGCAGACTCTCTCTACGGGTAGGAAGAGGCACCATGAAGCCACAAAGTGTCTGGTGCAGGAAGGCTGTGGAAACAACAATGCAATGTGGGATTTGTAGCGTTTTCATTTTTCTCCCCATCACGTTCTAATGTTTGTGCATGTATATTACTGATTTTCTGAACTAACCTCTGTTTGTGTATAGAGTTACACCATTGTTGTTTCACCCATCATTTGGGAAGATAGGAAAGCATTTGGAAACTCAATCGCCTTTCCAGATTCACGACTCTGCAACTGCATTCCCATGTGGGATTCCACCTGGGATCCGCACACTCAGCATCCCATCTGATGCAACTTGGCCCTTGTGCTTTTGGCAAAAGAAGTCGATCTGAAATTCCTATGTAGAGTTTCACTTCCTAAAGTTCAGAGAATAGCGGTTTCACTGCCAGCATTTCGTGGGTGAGAAATTTTAGGTTAGGTGTTTTGGGTCAGACGTTGTTTCTATTTATTTCTTTTACATGGTGGTTTGCACACATGAATCGTAGCCAAAATACCTTTCTGGGGAACTGTTGGTTGAGATAGTTGACTTTTTTTTTTTTTTTACCCCCGCTAAGACATCAAGATAAACTTGTAAATAAAGCCGATGGCATTTATCCATTCCCATTGTTCACTCGGGTGAAAAATACGGCAATGGAAGATTAGTGTCAGAGTATCACCCCCACTTGTGACTTGTATGTTGTAGAAAACGCTGTTAAATGTTGGACAGGACTTGAATTCAAAGCATGTGAAGTGGGTAGTAGATGTGTGGTGGAATGCTAGGGACACAGTGCCTTCCCCCATTAATTCCTGATGGAATCATTACACTAGGTGAACGTCTGTGATTTTTTTCTAGTTGTAATGTGTGTGTCTGCTAAGTAGGTATTCTATTCTGGCCTTACGATACCATAACAAAAGTTGTCATTTTGAAATCCCTAACACCCAGTAACCGTGCATGCTTTGGGAATTTGGAAGATGGTTTTCTTTAAGAAGCAAAATGCATTAGATTGTTCATGTCAAGAAATTGACGGAATGTTCTCAAAGCCCTGTTTACAGTACTTGGTGAGGTGTGGTGGGGTGGGGGGGGGGGGCAGGTGAGGGAGAGACCATTGCATAGCTGTTCAAGTGTTCCAGGCTAAGTGCTTTTAAACTGGAGAGGCTAACCTCAAAATATTTTTTTTAACTGCAGTCTATAATAAATCAACACAATATGCTCTTTACGGAAAGGTTGATCTATGTGCCCTTTTATTTCTGATGCTTTGTCTGTGAACCCTCTGAATCCTGCCGCCTCCAAAGGATTTTTCCCTTCATCAGTTGCCATTTAGAAACTCCTGGTTCTTTGCTGTGGTTCACGGAGGGTCAACCGCACTGACTGTACACCCCCTAGTAAAGGGGAAAACGGATACAACTGAAATCAGAGGTCTGAGTATTTGCTTTGTGGAGGGAGGAAAGGAAAACCCTCTTCACCAACAAAACCCGCAGCTCCACTAAACAACAACGTATTTGACTGTTAATTGGAGGAATTGTCTTTCCTGTTAGAAGTCCATGCAAGACACTGAATGACAGAGGCCAGTTATGTTCTGAAAGTCTGTCTCTGAGCCTTCCGTCTGAATCCCAAGCAGTCTTTTCCCTGGAGTCCTGTGACACATGGTGGTGTGCTTTCGCACCCGCTCACAAAGGCCTAGATAACCCAGGGATTATTGGCTGAACTCTAGCAGACGACATTAATCTTGATCAAGATTAACATTGGGCACTTTTCCAGGAACATTCACATGCTCTTCTTTTTTTTTTTTTTCCCTCTTACGAATACCTCCTCCTGTCGTGTCCAAGAGAATTTACATATTTTCAACCCGTATATGTTTGACCTTTACACATGTTGGAAAATCCACTTTCTGCTCAAGTGGCCAAATCTGATTATTGGCCAGATTCACTAAGTGACCACCTCGTGAGGGAGGGGGCTTCCATGTACGTCATGTTGAGTAGATGGGAGCCCGCCGATAAGCACGGTGTGCCAGCCCAGGACCCTCTTTCATAAGTAACCGTGGAATAAGATCCAACCGTGTTGTCAGTTGTCACCCTTTGCCACTGATTGAATGTGTCCCGTAACTAGATTTTGGTAGAGTATGTTTCTGATCTGGTGGTAACCAGCTTACAGGTCATCCGAGGGAAGAAACCGGGCCCCCACGAAAGGTATGCTAATTCCAAGGGGAAGGTCATGATGAATGGACAAGCATGAACATTTGTCAGTACACCCAGATTTCCGGTCGATCCCCTCGCCCACCTGGGAAAATATAAGCAGATGGTCCCTTTGCCCACAAAGCCGACAAAGCCGAGAGTAGAAATCATAAGTCCACGAACATCTTCACTCACGAGAGCAATGTCTGGTGAGCAGTTCTGTGGCAGCCTCAGCTGAACTTCTGAAACCGAGAGTGCCTGTGATTGCTGGTCACCAGGCTGATGGCTGTGACGGGCCCCAAGACATGAGCGTGCTCAGGACTCACACAGCTCTGTGTGGCCCTGCTTGTCAAAGGGCTCAGTGAAATGCAAAGCAGCAGACACAAAACAGGTGGGACCGTGCCGAGCACACCTTTTGCCATGGATTGAACGTGGTCCTTAAGTAGATTTTGATGGACTATATATATATTTTTTTAAGTTTATTTTTATTTAGGGACAGCTGGTTGGCCCAGTTGCCTGAGCGGCCGACTTCGGCTCAGGTCACGATATCACAGTTTGTGGGTTCAAACCCTGCACTGGGCTCTGTGCTGACAGCTCAGAGCCTGGAGCTTCTTTGGATTCTGTGTCTTCCTCGCTCTCTGCCCCTCCCCTGCTCGTTCTCTCTCTCAAAAATAACTAAATGTTAGAAAAAAGTTTATTTTTATTTATTTTGAGAGAGAGAGAGAGAGCAAGCAGGGGAGGGGCAGAGGGAGAGAGGGAGAGAAGGAATCCCAGGCAGGCACTCTCTGGCAGCACAGAGCCCGATGCGGGGCTCCAACCCATGAACGGTGAGACCATGACCTGAGTCAGTCACTCAACTGACTGAGAGCCACCCAGGTGCCCCGATAGAATATATTCCTGATATGATAGTAACCAGCTTAGGGTCGAAACCTGGCCCCCGCCCGTGAAATGTGTGCTAAATCCAAGTGAAAGGTTGTAATCGATGGAGAAGTATTAACATTTCATGCAGCTATTAATATTTGGATTATGAACATTGATTTGCAGTCAGCAAGCATTTAAGATTTTTATATTTCCAGAATGGAGTGTGAATTAGTGCCCACAGGAGATGGGGACTTTCAGAGAGCTTTAATTTTCGGTGAAGTATACAGAATTCACTACAAAGGAAATAGATCTTATCAAATATTAAGCTGCAAATGATTAACTATACTATATGGACATGTTATGGCCAAAAAATGAATCAGCAGCTGGGGTATGTCATACTCTAAATGTATTGTCATAGGTTTGCAGAACTCTGTGGAATATTTGCCTCAATATATTAAGTGCCTATCAAGTAACAGTCATCTAAAGGTCAACAATTCAGAAGAGGACTATAAATAACCTGAAAATTATTTAGGAAGAAGTTAGAACATACGTAAGGGAATACATTCTTTCTTCCCCAATTCTCTGGTCTTCTGAATCTAAAGACATGTAGGGAATGTTTGTTTATGTTTCTTTTTTCTTTTAAGTAATACCACCCCTCTTGGCAATCTTTAATTCACATCTGAAATTCTCACTCTTGCGACTCACTACAGTTACATGGCGATCAGGTAGATGGATTTTATTTTCACATACCTCGTTTTCTTCAGCACTGCCTCTCTGCTGTGCGTGAAAGGTCATTTTAATCATGGCTATGTTTATGAAAGGCAGAAGGAAATTATTTGAAAGTGACTGAGATGTGGAGTCTACGTTCAACATTTCTTTTCCAAGATTCTGATTAGGGAGGCAATGAGCGTTCTACTCAGAGAATGAGAGCCAATGGGTTGCTGTAGCCACTGCTCACAGCTCTGTCTTTAAGTATCATCAGGGCCTCCCTCCTGGCTGGCATTTAAGCTCTGGTCATGTGGAATTTTCAGTGTTTCTAACTCACACACTGTATTGTCTCTTTCCTATGCACCATCCCCCATGTTCCCTGTGCCTAGACCATTATCGCACTGCCCCAGCCCAGGCGAACTCCATAATGAAGGGCACCCCATGAAAGCAGGCCCATGTCTGTCCTACTCGCCTCCTGCTGAATCACTAGCAGCTACCACTGTGCTCGGCCAGCAGCAACCAATAAATACTCCTGAAATAATGAACTGACTCACTGATAGTTGTCCTATGGTTGCATCACTGATGTCTCTTCCCCTCTGGGACTCATTCCCAGCGACTCCTGCTGAGTCTCCCCCTGTGTGCCATACTTTCCCTTTGTAATATGTATTGACTTGTCAGCATAACCGTTACATTGTTTGTCTTCCTTGTTAGAACCTAAGTCAAGTGGAGGCAAGATTTTTGGTAGTCTGTGCTTCAGAAGAGACATTCAACACAAGTTGGATGGATGGATGGATGGATGCATGGATAGATGACTGGATGGATGGACGGGGACTTCAGATGCAGAGGAGTGAGAGGTCATTGAGGAAGAATATGAAAATAATGGGGACTGTTCTCCCCTACCTAGTCAATAGAGCATTAGGCAGCTCAGTGTTTTAATACAACAAATTGCCAGGATGCTAGAACAAGAATAAAAGAGAGAGAAAAAGAGACATGGTTGTGTTGGGACAGGGCAATAAATGAGAAAAGAAAAGCTTTGTTTTTACATTTTTCTTCTCAGGGTGGTTGGCTAACAAGTGAGTGACTGAGATGGGAAGGAAAGAACTTTCCAGGAGACAGAAATGATCCATGTCTTGACCGAGCAACACGTATAATAACAACAGCCACAAGTGTGCGTTTGCTCAAAACTCACCAAACTGCATACTTAAACTGGGTGCATTTTGTTATATATAAAGTACACCTCAATAAAGTTGACAAGTTTTTAAAATCAGGGTAAAGGGGGAAAAAATGTCAAAACCTGTTCAGTGGACAACAGTTGGGGGAAAGCCTTCATTCTCCACATCCTAGTAAAAATATTTTCCATATTGCTTTTTAAAAAATATTTAGTTATTTTGAGTGAGAGAGAGAGAAGAGAGGAGGGGCAAAGAGAAAGGGAGAGAGAAAATCCCAAGTAGGCTCTGCATAGTCAGTGCAGAGCCTGATGTGGGTGGGGCTCAGTCCCATGAACCGTGAGATCATGACTCGAGCCGAAGCCAAAAGCCAGATGCCCAACCCCACTGAGCCCCCCAGGCGCCCCTATAATGCTTTAATAACGTTCTTAAAATAATATTGTACAGCAAGGCAAAGCAGTATCCCAAATTGGAGTGTAAACATTCTAATGAGCTTTTCTAGAAGAACTTGGTGTGTCCAACTTGGGTCGTATTTATTTTCTTAAAATTTAATGTATAGGACTAATTTTTTATATGTTCAGAACCAACACATTGCTAATTCAGCACTAATATACATATGATCAGTGGTAAGTGAAATTGACTTTATAGAGTGTCTTTAATGTTGACCCAGACTCTCAAGAGACCTTGGGCCACAGGGACATATAGGGCCAGGAAGTACATTTGCAATGATGCTTCTGAAATGAACCACTGGAAAAGAAACAAACAAAAACCTCACTTTTCTGCTAGGTCAGTTTTATTTTTGAAGCTTCTAAAACGTTTTTCTTGCAAATCACACAAAATGTGCATCAATCTTTTGCTTACAGAGATAAAAATAAATTTAAACACCATGAATGTTGGAGAAATAATTTTTAAAAGCTACGTAGGATCATCTGTAACCATTACTAATAATGACTATATCACACACACATGTTTATGCCTTCTAGAGTCTAGCATTCTTTGTGTTGGTTTTATTACAAGCTCAGTTGCCAAATACCCTCTTTTAATTGAGTTAAATTCACATTTTTTATACAGTAAAAATAGTTCCAGTTTTTGGTCTTTGTAGCAAGTCTTTCGTGAAAAAGCAGATTTCTCCAGAGGTACTAGTAAGTGAGTATGGAGAAGTTTCTTAAAATACACTTATGCTGAGGGGCACCGGGGTGGCTCAGTGGGTTAAGCGTCTGACTTCGGCTCAGGTCATGCTCTCACAGTTTGTGGGTTCAAGCCCCGCATCGGGCTGTGTGCTGACAGCTGAGAGCCCAGAGCCTGTTTTGGATTCTATGT